ACACACACGCACACACACACACACACGCACACACACACACAAACGCACACAAACACACACGTGCATACACGCACACACACATTCTCATATCTATTGGTGGGAGTGCCACATGTTGGAAACTAGGTCCAAGGTCCGTGAACATCGTGAAAAAAACACAAATCGGGTCCCCCCCTCCCCACACTCTTCGAGTTATGTATAGCGAACATGACGAAACATACACACAACATAATAATTACCTTACCCTTCCCTAACTACATCAACAAACAAAATACAGGGTGCACATCCATGCGCTCACAGTAAGTCAATTCGCAGTCCGTCAGGGTTGCGTTTTATGCCTTCAAGACCTTTAACGTCAATTCAACTTTCAACGTTTGTGGTCGTTCAGGAGGGAAGGCAATTTTCAGCTGGGGGCTTAGCAAGGGTCGAGGCATGTTCGCAGTCCGTCAGGGTTGCGTTGTCGAGCACATCGGCTTATGTCTTTTTCGCGAAAGGCGAGAGCCCTCCCGGAGATGTCACACATGAGTAAACAAAGAAAAACTGAGACAACTTAGACACGACGAGTAAGTAATCTCACGAACCGCCGAGACGGATGTGGTTGCACCATCCGTTCGGTGCTCTAGCCGGGTGCACCAGCCGTACCTCTCGCAGTCCCTTACGACAGGATAGGTTCTCACGAGGCACAACCTACCTTTCCTAAGGGGTTGTCACCACCCTTAGGGGCGTATCTCTACCGAATTACTTACCCATGTGAAAACGTTTTTATATGCAATCGCAGAGGTAGGTCAGTCGACGGTGTTTGCTCGTTCGCTACAATATAGGTACGTTTGGTTAAAACGTTATTTGAACTTATACGTCATTTGTTCCCTATGACGCTTATCTCTTAGGTACGAAACAAACATCGGTCGAATAAGATGGTATCAACCAACCGTGAAACTCACAACTCAATCCTAGTCCCTTAAACACTAACGAAAAAAAAAAGTGATAATAACCGCAGTTAATTACATCAAAATAAATTAATCGTGATCGATAAGCATGTATATACGATTCAACATAAGTTAAAACGATAACTGAAAAAAACTAAACACCACATGGTAGAACAAATAATGCAAGATCGAAATAAAAATTCAACCACCTCCGGTCGAAATCGATGGAAAAAAAATATATATATTGAGCCGCCAACGAAAAGTTGGCTTCAACAATAACCTCGATGCAGCCGACACGGAAGTCGAACTTCCCCGATTTTGACTTGATGAGACGCACTGCCAAAGTCATTAATTCCCCCTACTGTCAACCTAAGATTAGGTACGCACACACTTGCCCTCACACATTTTTGTCTTATTTTATGACAGACTATTTTGCGAATGGTTCTTAATCAGGTGCATTACTTGAAGTATTGCATGTCCCACCCTATAGGAACTGGTTTGGGTACTCCTCCTCCTCGCCCGAGCACAAGCTCGGATCTCAAATGTTGGGCTGTTTCCATCGAATCGACAAGTACCCCCTATAAAATGGTTCACTCCGGATCAATAACAGGGTCAGCTCCTAAAGAAATGAACCCTCGCCTTATATATTTCAAAGAGAGACAACGTGTCCACCACGAGTAAATTTCAATTGTTCTTATTTTTCCTCAGCTCACAGTAACTTAGATGAAAAAAAATAGAGGAACCAGAGAATGAGAACCAATTGGATGGGTATAGACAGATGAGGTCATTCAGGAAAGAGCGAGTAGACCTGAAGAAAATACTAGTCAAGTTAGCCTTGTCTGATTTATTTGAACCGAATTATTTTTACAGCGCGCCCTGAATTAACTATTTTTCAAAAAAACAAGTCTTTAAACAAACAGACAGGTGATAAGTAGAAATAAGACAAACCTTTTCAACAATCCTAAATAGGCATAGTCATTTATCCTTTGCAAACATTTTTCTACTTATCTGCATAATACAAAAAAAAAAAAGTTCAAAAGAAATCAGTGCAATCCAATACTCAAGTCAGACCTCACCTTCCACATGCATGACTCATACAACCTTTCCTCTACCTTTTTTTTTGAATGTTCAAAATAAAACAGGGTCAAGCAAAAGTGTGGGTTTACATTGTTTAAGGGAAGTCTAAGTCATTTAACTGACCTTGAATGCAGTGATATTGAACGTGTACTGACTCACTCAAGAAAACCACGTAGAATAATAAGTATCGCAGAAGAACACTGCAGTCTCGAGGCAAGTCTCGAGCCAACTGCTGGTCCCAATCTGTCCTTAACTTGCACGCCCCACATGCGGTGAATCCAGGTGTGAAAACGGCAACCCGCACACGTCCCTAAAACAATTCACCATCAGTACTTAATGGTCCCAGATCGTCCCACGCCACCAACCATTGCACTTGATGGTCCTGGTTACTGTAACTGCTCACTCCGTGTGTTCCCGGAAAAAAATAAAGGCGGTCCCGAATGTCAAAACTGCAAGTGTCATGAGTCCCAATGGTCACGACCTCGCTTGCTCGAGTCCCAACTGATCCTGCTGGCCCCGACATTGCGTCATGTGGTCCCCCCTAAAAATAAATAGTCGGACACGTGCATCCTAGTTGATTCACGAGTGTCACACAACACAATCCACCACACTCACCACCAACCATTGCAACCATACCCTGTCGCACTCCTAAAATAATAATAATAATAATAATGTCGCATAGCGTAGTCGAACACAATCCTTGGAGCCAAGTCCCAAGCGCGCACTATAGCCGGTACCACCACAACACCTTACTAAAAACTATAAATACTGCATCGTCAAAACAGCAACACATCCTCTGAAAAAAAAAACCGTTCCCTGTCATCAAACAAATAACATTCTCCCAC